TGCATATGGGAAAACTCAGTACCTTAAAGATAGCAAATCTCCTCAAGCAGTGTGTGCCCAGGCAAAGCCTGAACTTCTCCTGCATCAAAATTACCTGAGTACTTGTTGAAATGTAGATTCTAAGGCTCCATCGTTTTTTTTTTTTTTTGAGGAACATTAGCCCTGAGCTAACATGTGCTGCCAATCCTCCTCTTTTTGCTGAGGAAGACTGGCCCTGAGCTAACATCCATGCCCATCTTCCTCTACTTTATATGTGGGATGCCTACCACAGCATGGCTTGCCAAGCCGTGCCATGTCTGCACCCGGGATCTGAACCTGCGAACCCTGGGCCGCCAAGACACAGAAGATGCGAACTTAACCGCTGCGCCACTGGGACAGCCAGCCCCCTAAGGCTCCATCTTAAACCTGCTGAATCAGCATGTCTAAGGACCAGGCCCAGGAAGCTGCATTTTGGAACGCTCTCCAGGTGATTCTTTTGGGTACTAAATTTTGAAATCCTTGCCTTAGGGAAGTAGTTCATAACCTGAATTGCGCAGGAGAATTATCTGGGACAGTCCTTAAAAGTTCAGATCCTGGGCCACACCCCAGCACAATTAAACCAGAATTTCTGGGCAAGGCACCCGCGTCAGCACTTTCAAAGTTCTCCAGCGATTCCAATGTGTGGCCAAGGTTGAGGACCGCTGCCCTGGAAGAAGGTGCATCCAGAGTCAGGTCTGTGAGGTTCGCTGCCCCTCCCCATTTGCGCATTTACTTCTAGGGCTAGCCTCGTAGGATTTGGACTTATCTTGATTAAAGAAGACATAATTTCCTTACGTAATGGTTATAACTTATTTTCTATCCTCAGCATCCAGTCTGATACAAAACAGGGGCTTGTTGGTCATTTTCTGAAATAAATTCAACTAAGTGAGAATGAATGAAACGAATCAATATTTAGGTGAATATTTTCATCAAACTCCAAAATTTCCACTGGACTCAACAAACCTACGTGGCTCCTAGGCACAATGTCGCACTGTGAGAGGTATAGAGATGCACAAAATACAGCCCTTCTCTTCAAGTGTTCAGGATCTGATGAGGGAGGCAGATACAGATACAAGTATCCTACAGTCGAGCAGACAATAAGAAGCGTACAGAATATGAAAAGGGAATCAAAGAAAAATTAATCCTGAATGGCAGGACCTAGGAAGACGTTGCTGAAGATTCAGTACCTGAGATTGGACTTGAAACGACTGGGACTTGCCCAGGAAGAAACCAGGGAAATTGGCAGTTGCCCCATAGGTATAGGGCAGTCCTGCACAGCATAAGCCAAGCCCAATGGTCCTTTCTCTAACCTTCATGGAAGACTGCGGGGCAGATATTAAAGGCCCCTTTTCTGTCTGACTTCCTTGTTACTGCTCTCATTTTTCAAATATTTTACCTCTGCTTTATTAATTCCACCTCCTGGTGCCTCAGCTGATTTCTTCCAGGGAAAGTTTTCATTAGCATTTCTATGGGGAGCACCTGCTACCCCATCTATCCCTATTAACTGAGGGCTAGGGCAAGGGGGCGGACTGAGGGGGGAATTGTAATCCCCTCCTTATGACTCATCTATTCTCTAATTGAGAATGCTAGGTCTGAAGTCACAAATGGCTGCCCAGTGAAATCCATCCTGAATATTAAAGATGATAACAAAGACATGCTCCTCAATTTTATAATATCATCTATGTAACATGAATGTATTAAAATTAATCAACTTCATGATGGTGAATAATTCTAAAGATACCTCAGATACCACTTGAATGCAAAAATCCCAAGCTAGGATAGGTTACGAATTAACTGAACTGTTGACTAGGGAAGCTTTCTCAAAGCCACAGTGTCAAACGACATTTGATGTTATCTACAGACTGTAGATTGTAGGTGAAAATCAACTAGCACACGTACAACCCTGGGTGGTAAAAGTATTTTTACATTATATACCAATATATTAAGCTGATGGATTATGTGTCATTTCTCTGTTTAAGCAAACTGCTCACACTGATGTCATGTGACAGATGTCATTTGGAAAGCCCATGAGATAAACCAGTCACCATGGTGCAAATCACCATGATTTATGTAGAGTGGCAGAAGAAAAGGGTTTGTAAATCAAATTATCATTGAAATGGAGCCCATCTTGGCTTCCAAGGCCATATAAGGCTCATCTACAGCAGACACAGGGTATACTCAAATTCAGGAGATATTCAGTATCAGAACAAGGAAAAGAATGTGAGACAATAGGGAAGGAAAATCAATGTTCCAGATAAGCCTATATTCCCAGGCATTTTTTCTTTATAATATATTTCATTAATTGATTATCTTATTTCTTCGTATCTACTTTCACCCAAAGTGCATTTCCCTCTTATTGGTTAATTTTTCTTCTGGACCAAAAATAATGCTAAATTTCACATCAAATTTGTCATGCACTTAAATTGTCCATTAAAGAAATTGCTGTCTCTTAGCAAGTCATTCTCTTAATGTTTGAAAACCCTTCTGATTATACAGCAAAATGGAATTGCTGGCCCCAAAGTCATATGCATAATTAAATTTTACAGAAGACCCAAATTACAAAACAATATTTTTTGAGGTACTCAGAGATTTTTTTTGACAGGTTGATGGAGTTCTGATAGCCACTAAAAATAATCATTCTCACCAGCTGCGAGAGCATAGCATCCCCCGCCCCCACCCCATTTAACCCAATCACTTGTAGTGTGTGTGTGTGATTCTTAACCGTGAAGCAGAACATGCTTACTGTACAGTTAAGGTGTTGTTGGGGGGGAAGAGGCTATATGGAACAAAGGTACAACCCAAAATATTTGGAGTGAGTTGTATCTGAAGGGTGATTATTTCTGGACTGCCTGGCCAACCATCCATGGACAAAGCAAGTCCTACCAACTTGGATACATGAACTGAGTAGGATCACCAAAGATTTGAGAATCCGGGATCTCCTTAATGGGCACTGGCGCTATGGAGGTGAGGAGAGGTAGATTCTGCCTGGTAGGTGGTCAGGTTCCACTTGCCACAGGGTAATAGACTGGAAGTAGGATGATGAAGAGGCCAGGCCAGGAGTCTGTGAGGTTGGGCCAAACCTAGGGTTCTCGGGAACAAAGTAGGGCCTGGATAACAAGAAAGCCATGGCAGAACCACAAAACTGTATCTTGGCTTTGTCTTTGATGCTTCTTAATTGTTTGCTTCCTTTCTTTTCTTTTTGATCCTTCCTTGGTAGCAGCATAAAGATATTGTGAAAATTCCACCTCCTCATTGCTATGAACCAAGGAAAAGGATCTGTGTTCTTGCCTGACCCAGAGCTTTAAAAGGAAGCGGTATACTCCTGGGGGATCAGTGTGGTCACGATAACAATAAACCAAGGCAGAAACACCAAGTGGGAGGTGGAATTCAGGAAGAAGGAGTAGGGGCCAATGGATTAGCTGCTGCCCCTTACTGAGAAATGCTTTCCAGAGTTAAAACCCGGGGTGGTAGGGCGGGGCAGATTCTGTGTTAACAAGAGACGATGTCTATCTATGCTATTCTTTCCTCAGCAAATGGGGGAGTGTTTGTCTTGTTCACTGGAGAAGGACATCAGTCTGACCTGAGGCTACATGTAGGGTCTTGGCAAAAGACACTAACTCTGCAGTCCTCCTGACCACACCCTCCTGCCGGAAGAAGGCAACTGGCTGTGGCATTGATGAAGGGCCCCATAAGCCATGTTCTGAACACCTCTAGCTCAGTTATTCATCATGCCCATCTGCTTCCCCAGAGACCCCAAGCCCAATGGTACACCTTCAGAGTCAGCTGTGATCTGTTAGCTAATTGATTTGGTTTGAAACATAAGGGCAGGACTGAAAGCTAAGCATTCAGAAATATATATTGGATGGATGAAGGATGAGAAAGCAGGCTGGAAGGGCTGAGGCTGCAGCAGAGGGAGAATTCTAGAAGGATGGAGAGAGAGAGAGAAAGAGAGAATGAATATGCTCTTGCTTAAAGGCATTTATTTACAAGGAATTTAAATGTGCTAAAGAGGAGGTTCTTAGTGATAAGAGAATGAGAAACACATCTGGAAAACAGGAAGGGAAGGAGAAAGGAGATGCCTCAATAGAGGAGAAGGCTGGAGGTATCCAGGAAGTGGTAATTGGAATAATGAGACATCATCTAGAAGGGTGGAAGGGAACCAAGACTGTACTAATCACCTACTATGTGCCAGGCACAATTCTCCTCCTGAATCATCTCATTTGATCTTCCCAATGTCTAGCACAGTGCTCAAAAAATATGTTGAATATTTAATATTAAATTGATAAATGGGTGAACAATTCTAAGAGAAGAATCTATTATCCCCAGAAAGGTTAAGAAACTTGCCCAACGTGTCAGAGTGAGTAAGAGGCATAAGGAATCTGACTTTGAAGCCTGAGTGGTTGAAGGAGGAGGGTGATTTACAAGGTCCCTGCAGGGAATCTGGAAAAGGGTGTGGTGCTTGGGTGTCTCCCAGGGACTGAGAGAGGAGAGGGAAGAAGGAAAGGCTGAGTGAACTGGGCCAGGGAGGAGCAGGAGAGGTCACTCTTTTTTCCCGGGCCCTGCAGGAAGGCACTGAGGCCCTTGGGGGACTGCTGAGCCAGCAAAGGCCAGTATCTAGGCTGATGCAGCTGGTGAGTTGGATGGGGCAGAATGGAAGCAGAGACTGAGAAGAAATTGCAAAGGGTCTCTGTTGGGCAGGCAGGGGTTTGAGGTGGGGTGGGGATGAGGGAAAGGTGGCTGAAGTGGTAAAAAGAAAGACCTAGGCAGGCTGGGGAGGATAATATAGCTTTCACAGGGGAAGGAGCAAAAGACAAGTCGGCCACGGGAGGTTGTCTGGGATGGGGCTGGGGAGAGGGTGTGGCCTGGGATGGGAGGGGAAGGCTGAGTGAGAAGCCTGTGATGGGGAGCATGAGCCCTGGGTAGTCTGTGGGAGAGAGTAAGGATGGCCAGCCTTGTCGCGTGAGCTGTGGCCCGCGTCTCACCTGTAGGAGCTGCTCACCGCACTTGTCACCTCCTCGCGGATTTGCCTGTTGAGGGCGTCCGCCACTGCACGCCCCTTGCCACCCTCGGGGCCCGCGGCCTGGACCTGGGCCTGGGCCGCGCGCAGCGGTGTCTGCTCGGGCCCCAGCCCCTCGGCGCGACGCAGCATCCATGCGGGCCCGGGCTTCCTCCGTGTGTCGCGTTCGTCCCCACCGGACGCCTTTCCGGCCGCAAGGCCACCTGCTCCGCCAGGGGCCGCCTCTTGCTCCGGGGCCTCAGCGGCGGGCCCACCCTCGGGACCCGCGGCCTGGACCTGGGCCTGGGCTGCGGGCAGCGGTGTCTGCTCGGGCCCCAGCCCCTCGGCGCGACGCAGCATCCATGCGGGCCCGGGCTTCCTCCGTGTGTCGCGCTCGTCCCCACCAGACGCCTTCCCGGCCGCAAGGACACCTGCTCCGCCAGGGGCCGCCTCTTGCTCCGGGGCCTCAGCAGCGGGCCCACCCTCAGGGCCCGCGGCCTGGACCTGGGCCTGGGCTGCGGGCAGCGGTATCTGCTCGGGCCCCAGCCCCTCGGCGCGACGCAGCATCCAGGCGGGCCCGGGCTTCCTGCGTGTGTCTCGCTCGTCCCCACCGGACGCCTTTCCTGCCGCAAGAACACCAGCTCGGCCAGGGGCCGCCTCTTGCTCCGGGGCCTCAGCGGCGGCCGGCATTGGCCAGCGCTCCTGGCTCTGCGGCCGGCGCTTGGGCGCCCCGAGAATGGGCGCCGACGGCGCCTGGGAGGACGTGGCGATCTGCACGGGCTTAGGGATCCACGGGTGGTCCCCGCGGCGCGGCAGCGGCCAGGCGCGGAAGTCCTTCTGGTACTGGGTCTCGCGCTCAAAGGGCGCGTCGGAAGGCTGGTACTCGCTGCGCGGCCGGCAGCTCGGCTCGGGCCGCTGCACCTTCCAGGCGCGATAGTCCTGCCGCATCACCGAGTCCGCGGGCCCCGCGCCGGAGGTGGAGCCGGAGACCGGACCCAGGCCCGGCCCGCTCCGGCCCCGGCCGGCCGCCGCCTCACGTTCGGCGCTAGGCCCGGGCGCCGGCCCTGTTGCCCGGGCAACTGCATCCAGCTCGGCCTGGGCCGGCTGCGTCTCTATGGCGACCGCGCGAGCCGAGGGGGGCGCGTGCGCCGGCTGCGCCGGCTGTTGCGGCGGCGGCGGCGGCTGCGGCGGGGCCCCCGGGTGCTCTGTGGCCTCCGAGTACTTGGTGAAAACCAGCGGCACGGCGATATCCGCCTTGTCCAGCTGGTTCCAGAAACGGGCAATGCAGCAGGCCCGTGTGATGCACGGCCACGCCATGATGCTAACTGCTAGCTCTTTCTTTTTGTGGTTCTAAAGCAAGTCTCTAATCTTCCTTCAGTCCCCTGGCCCTCGACCAGCCGATCTGTTTCCCACCGTTTTTACTTTGGTGGCCTGAGTACCTCGCCCTCCTCCCTCAGAGAGCACCCGGGAAGGTCGGCCCGGCAAAGCTATCACTGAGATAAAATCTATAAAGTCCCTCGATTTTACCAGCTGCAAACACCTCCCGGAGCCGCCTGCAAAGGTCTTGGGAGCGCAGTCTGCTGCAGGCACCGAAGGGTAAGAGACACGGCGTCCCCAAGTCCCCAGGCTCAGGCGTCTGGGACGCGCCCCTCCCTGCGGCTGCGGCGGCCCGCAGACCCCGGCCAAGCGAAGCGACGCGAGGAGAGGTGGCTGCGGGCTTAAGCCATGGCGCAGAGGAAGGACCGGGCAGTGTGGCTACAGAGTCCGTGGACGAAGCTCTATTCTCCTTCCCGCCGGCGTCCCGTTGCAGCCGGCCACCTAGCAGGGCTCGGAGGCGATCACCTCCAGCGGAGACGGAGCATTGCTGCCGCCGCCGCCGCCGCCGCTGCTCCCAATGATGCTGCAGCCGCTGCTGCCGCCGTCTCTACTGCAGGGAAGCGGCCCCACCCTTTTCCGCCGCTCAGCAGGAAAAAAAAAAAAAAAAATACAGGAAAGATGCTGAGAGAAAGAGCGCTGCAAAAAAAAAAATCACCTGCTGTCGTCAGGGCTCGCTGCTGGGAGCTCGCCCTCTCTCTTTCCCCTCCTCCCTCTGCTCTGGCTGCTCCTCCCTCCTCCGCTCCTAGGCAACAGCAGAATCTGGGGCCTAGGTGGATTCAAGTCCCAGGCTCGTGAAGACTTGCTGTCCTTAACTGGTTGCTTCCTCTCCGGGTGTCTCAGACTCCTCGTTTGTAAGATAGGACCAATCATGGAGGGGGGAGGGGAATAAATAAAAAAATATGGAGGAAAGCCCTAGTGAAATATCTGTCCTAGAGTAGATGCTTTTTAAAAAGGGAGCTACTGTTATAGGTCAAAGTCACTGGGCTGGATTTGAACCAGGTTTGTCTGGCTCCTGATCCAAGCACTTGCCAGTCTTAGGCACAGGCCTTGCTCAGATGTGTGGCGATGGGATCCTCCAGGCTGGTGGTACCCTGGCTGTTCCTTTCCTAGGGGACAAGGGGTGTCTTAGAGCCCCCCAAGAGCCACCCGTTCCCTGTTCAGCCCAGGGGCCACACTAGGGGAGAGGCAGTGCAAACAGGATTCTTGCAAGGGGCCCAAGTATGGAGGCTGGGGGTGGGTGGGAAACAGACAGTGTCCTGGGAAAGGGTGGGGCTTGACATGCAGCAGCGTTCTGACGTGTTCCTGCCCCCTGGCTTTTGCTCTTCCTCCACGTGGGAGGCAGAGGAGATTTTGGAGTTAGGCAGACCCGACTTGGCTGTGACACTTGGGCAAGTTGGGACAACCCTGGAACTGAGTCTCCTCATCTGTAGAATGCAGGAAATAATAGCTGCCTCAAAGGGGTTTTGTGAAGATAGGTAGGGACTCAGAGCAGGAGCTTTGAGTGAAAACAGATCTGTGAGGATTCAAATTCTAGCCTTTGCACTCCTTAGCTGTCTGACCATGGGCACATCGCTGCAACTTTCTGATCTTTAGTTTCATCGATGAATGGGAGAATCAATTCCCAACTTGCAAGCTTGTTCTGAGAATTAAAACGAGATAAAAGCACTCCGCACAACATCGGGCATGTAGCAATGGCTCAATAAATGATAGCAATTAGTATGCAAAGGGCCCACCCAGGAGACCCCTAGCTGGAGCTTCCTGAGGAGGCCAGCCACATGGACACCTTCTCCAGGAAGACCTCTTGTTCTTCCGAGTAGCTTTTGGTGTCTCCTTGATATCCCTCCGTTTGTCTCCTGCGCTGCCTTCCTCTCCCTGCCCCTGGCTACATACACTGGCCTTCAGTTCTATTTCTCTCCAATAAAGGCAGAGTTTTCAGCATCAGTTAAGCTGGGGGCATTGGTGTTTTTGGGGGAAAAATAATTTATGTGCTTAGACTGGGAATTGATTGTAAAACACAGCTCGCCCACCCCCAACAAGCTTAGGATCAAACAGGATGAGCAGACAGCTCTGATTAGTCAATTATCTGCTGACCTTCCTCCTACTTGGGTCTGCCTCTTGATGATTTGATTTGACTTCCACAAATAAAATGATGCCTGGCACTGTTTTCCAGTCATTAGGAGGTGCATTTCTATAAACAACATAAACTGGCCTGATTCTTCCTCCCCCAATTCTGCAGAACTCCCTGGGATTTGGCTGCTGTCTTTCCAATCATGATTTACAAAGGTGAAAAGAGGGACTAGAACTTGAAGGGAGGAGGGCTGAGAGTCATTGAAACTTTACTCTTCTTTCATTTAGCAAGTCTAGTCTCCTGATGCTCACTCTGTGCCTTGGGCACCATAGACACAGATGGATTCCAGCTCTGGGGGAGCCCTCAATTGGAGCGGTGTGTTATGGGAGGGCTGGGAGACAGACACACAAATAATTAGCAAGAAATATGGTCGGCATAGCAGAAGTTCCTTCACAAGGTGCTGAATGAATGGCTAATAAGAGATGAGTAGGAGCCCTCCTAACAGAAGGGTAAGTAAGAGTGTTCCAGGCAACTTCATCATCAATATCACCTTCCACCTTCATTCATTTGGATTTTTAAAAGACATTCAATCGTACAACCTCCTTGAACAATTCAACGGCCTGATGGGATAGACAAGTCTAATGATTGTCTGTAATGTGGCTTGTTCCGCACCCATTCTGAGGATAATAGCACCTCATTATGTGACTTTTGGGGACCACCCCTTTCCTACTTTCAGTCCATATGGTTTGGGTGGGGTTAACTCTACTCAGTCCACCTTCCAGGGATGACTGTGGCCCCACATCTGTTTACTAGGTCATTGCATCCCCTTGGCCAAAGAAACTAGTTCAGTGATAGGCACATGATCCACACTGGACCAATAAGAGGAAATCCTAGACTTTAGCTGGAAGTATTTGTAAAGAGCCACTCTCTTTTTTACTGAAATTGCTAAAATGGGAGACAATGAGGCTATTGTTATTAGTGACCATCTTTGCCATCACTGAGGGGATGCTGCCTGAGGTTGAAGCAAACACAGGGAAAGCACAGAGAAGAGGATTCAGGATGCTGATGTCTATGGAAGACTGCAATTTGTTCCCCAAAGCCCGTTCTCCCCTTTTTCCCTTTAGTAACAGAAGCCTCCAAGTTTTAGTTGGGCTCCTGGTCACCCAGCCAGAAACTACATTTCCCAGCCTCCCTTGCAGCAAAAAGCAATCATATGCACTTCCAGGTCACTTCCTGAAAAGCAGTTGCTTGTGTTCAACTTTATCTCTCTCCCTTCCCACAGGGTAGAATGTGGTCATGGTAGAGGTGAATTACCATCTGGGTGGTTAAGATGACTATGACGTGGTGTTTAAGAACATTTGGTGTCAGGATTTAACCCTGGATAGGGGAGGGGACAATAACAAGTCAGAAGAAAGCTATCTTGGTTGACCTCATGAGATGGAACTGCCTAGCTGCCTTGGACCACCTGCCTGCTCCTGGACGGTTATGTGAGAAAGAAATACACTTCTCTCTTCTTTGAACCACTGCTTTGGGGAGGTCTCTGTTTTAGTAGTTTAGTCATTTGAGCATTTGGCACCAGGCCAGGCTTGAACTAATTTGAAGTGTGTGAAAACAGCATGGAACAAAAATACTGGAAAATGATATCATGTAAGATGGGAGGGAATGATCAGAGTTAAAGCATTCTGAAGTCCTTATTTGTTTGTGAGGAGGGTAGAGATATTGGTTAACTTATTAACATAAAATGTTTATTAGTTTAAAAGTGCACATCAAAAGAAAGAAAAGGGAATATAGAAAACTTTACTAAGGCCAGAAAAGAGGTAAAATTAAGCAAAAGGAAAAAAGGCAAATGGCAAATACAATAGAAGACGGTAGTAATACTTCCAAGTAAATGTAAACGGTAGGTGTAAATGGTCAAAATTTTCCAGTTAAAAGACAAAGAATAGGAGGCCAGCCCCATGGCCAAGTGGTTAAGTTCATGCACTCCGCTTCCGCAGCCCAGGGTTTTGCCAGTTTGGATCCTGGACATGGACCTAGTACCACTATCAGGCTGTGCCAAGGTGGCATCCCACATGGCACAACCAGAAGGACCTACAACTAGAATATACAACTGTGTACTGGGGGCTTTGGGGAGAAGAAGAAGAAGGAGGAGGAGGAGGAGGGAGGGGAGGGGAGGGGAGGGGGAGGGGAGGGGGAGGGGAGGAGGGAGGGGGAGGAGGGAGGGGAGGGGAAGGGGAGGAGGGAGGGAGGAGGGGAGGGAGAGGGAGGGAAGGGGAGGGGAGGAGGGGAGGGAGGGGGAGGGGAGGAGGGGAGGGAGGGGAGGGAGGGGGGGAGGGGAGGGGACGGGAGGGGGGGAGGGGAGGGGGAGGAGGAGGAGAAGAAGAAGGAAAAAAGACAGACAACAGATGTTAGCTCACGTGCCAATCTTAAAAACATAAAAAGAATGTCACATTGGAGAAAAACACAAAACAAAGCAAAATGCAACTATGCATTGTTTGCAAGAGACATATTTAAAATATAATGACACATAGATATAGAAAAAAGTGATGGAAATAGGTGTAGTGGATAAATATTAACAAAAAGAAAGCTGGTACCATTATATTAATATCAGACAGAATTGAACTTAAAACAGAAAGCATTATTAGAGATAAAAATGGTCATCACATAAAAATAGAAGAAGCAATTCACCAGAAATATATAACATGGTTTGCTTCTAACAATACAGCTTCAAAATATATAATGCAAAACTTGGTAGACTTTTAAGAAGAAATGCACAAATCCATCACCATCAGAGAGGAAAAAATTTTTTTAAACATCTAAGTAACTGATAAAACAAACACTTAAGATGTTGTTAGGGAAGCAGAAGATTTAAATAATTGGCAAGCTCGATCTAATAAACTCAGCATCCAACAATTAGACGGTACACATTCTTTTCAAACTTCATGGAGTATATAAAAATTGACCATATACTAGGACACAAAACAAACATAAACAACTACCACTCATAACAATCATAAGGACTCATAAAAATCACTTTTTTCTGATGACAGGACAATGATATTAGGAACAAATAACACAAGATCATCACAAACCTCTACATGTTTAGAAATTAAACAAAGAATAAAATACTTCTAAATCAATTCATAGGCTTAAAACGAAATTATAATAGATACCAGAAAATATTCAGAGCTGAAAGAAAATGAAAACATCGCATATCAAAATTTATGGGATGCAGCTAAAAACAATATGCACAGGGAAGTACATAACCTAAATACATACTTTAGAAACAAAGAAAGATTAAAAATACTCTAGTGATTACATTCAAGAAGTTAAAAATAGTACAGAGCAAACTCAAAGAAAGTAGAAGGGAAAAAAATAGAGAAAATACCAAGGTAATTAAATATAAGACAACCATACATTAGAGACTGTGAAAGAATCCAAAAACAACTTCTTTAGAATAGACAAATCTCACATGTTCATCCAGAAACAAACATACAAAAAGAAATCACACATCAACAATTTTAGGGTTGTGAAGAGGGACAATTGTACATATAGCAGAGATTTAAAGAATCATTGACGAATACTAAGAATTGCTTTCTGCTGACTGAAGATGCTTGCGTGGCAGCCAGCCTCCAGCATG